CAGAGTTTACAGCTGGTGAACGCGAAGTAGAAGAAGTTTCCCCTGGAAAGTTTATTCATTCCTTCTTCATTCATTTGTTGCCCTTGAGTTGAGTTGAGTTGAGTCGAGAATTGACATCACAGCACTCGGGGCATTCCCATGTGTGCTCCGTCCTCATCTTCAGCAGTACTGATGGTACCGATTCTTTGTCCTCTTGTGCCATTGTATGTCATATAGGACTCGCAGTTTGTCTGTCCAATCTGTCTGTTGCAATCACTTCGGTGTGATGGATCGAATCTAGTGCAGATTCTTTGTCCTCTTGTGCCATTGTATGTCATATAGGACTCGCAGTTTGTCTGTCCAATCTGTCTGGTGCAATCACTTCGGTGTGATGGATCGAATCCAGTGCAGATTCTTTGTCCTCTTGTGCCACTGTATGTCATATAGGACTCGCAGTTTGTCTGTCCAATCTGTCCTACGCAATCACTTCGGTATGATGAATCAAATCCAGATCAGCATCTTTAGCCTCTCTCATCAAAAACATAAACAATAATTCTGTGGTTGGTTCTGCAACATCATGTAAAGTGAATGCAGCTACCTTTGTTTTCTATCTGTGGTTTGTCCATTTCTTCCATCCGCATTTCTTCTTTCATATATTTCTTCCGTCTGTATTTCACTGTTGACATGGGGCAGTCAGGTGTAGGGTCCATCTATGCCGCAAAATTTAACGCTATTCCGCGGAAATTAACGATGTGACGCAAACTTCAATGCTATACCGCGGAAATTAACGCTAGGTCGCGGAAATTTAACGCTATGTCGCGGAATTTAACGCTATGCCGCAAACTTTAACGCTGCGTCGCGGAATTCAACGCTATAACGCGGAAATTAACGTTCTGCCGCAGAATTCAATACTATACCGCGGAAATTAACGCTATGCCGCGGAAGTTAACCCCATACCGCGACATTTTCGATAATTTGCCGCGGTGAATCGTGGGTCCTTAGTGCTCCCTGGCACATGAACTCAGCTGTTACGCCCTGAATCCTTGCTGAGATTTGGGAACCCCGCGACCAGAGACTTCGGTTTGCTTTGCGGAAAACATAATCCTCACATTCAACCTGTATGGCCGAAGGGGGAGCTTCTGGTTATAATTGTGACTATACTATGCACGCCATATATGCTAGTTCTACTTCTAACCCAAGCTTGAGTCTGCAGAATCTCAGCGCAGTGCATGAACCCCGTAGCACCGGCGAGAATCCTGAATTACTTTGGGTAGATTTGTCACTCCAAATTTTGCCCGGGCAGCGCCGCCAGGCTACTCTTTTCGATTTCCAAAACTGGCAAGGGAATTTTTAACGTGCGCAAAAATACACGCGGGTGTCCGATCTTACTACCCAGAGACCGGGGGAAATTACTAGAAGTCCACATACAAAAAATGCCAGCCTTCACCGGGGCTCGAACCCGGGACCTCCAGCACTCAAGGCGGACACCGTACTTCGATACCACTCAGTCTTTTTATGTGATTGTATATTAGGTGTGTTTCTAGAGATATAGAGAGGTTGGGTACCAGGTCGCGGTGAGATTTTCCTTCACTTGCGGTTCCGAGGTCTCATTTTGATACAGAAGAATAGACCCACAGCTCTCTAGCAAACATGTCGTAGGATGCGATTAATTAGGGGTGTTTCCTTCGATCAGCATGCCTCTGTATGAGAGACAAGAAACCAACAGTCTGTATGCAAATAAACCAGACCTGTAAATCAGAGGTATAAGCAGAACTGAAGTTCTAAAACAAGACGAAAGTCCAGAAGTGGGCGAACAACCAGGACTTTCCGTCGGGGTTTACAGCCGGGGATCGTAAAGAAGGGAAATATTTAGAGAGATCGTCCAGTTTTCAGTACTGTTTATTTCCTGTTATTTAGACAACTTGTGGTTTCCTGGTCTCGCGCCAGGCCAATCAGTTACGAGTAAACGTGAGATTTGATGAAAATAGGGTACGGGCCACGTTTGGTGTTGTCTGGTTCGTAACTCACCCCCAACTGTGTCCTTGATGAAGTCTGTTGAAAGAGTTATTGTTCTGTTGTTAGTGGCGATCTGTAGGACAGATTCAGGTGGTGTTTGTGTGGGGGATATAGGCGCGTTTGTGTGGGAGATACAGGTGGCATTCGTGTGAAAGATACAGGTGGCGTTTGTGTGGGAGATACAGGTGGCGTTTGTGCTCCGGTGAGATACCGGTCGTTTGCTCACAGTGGAGACACCATGCACTCGTCAGAAGCTGGGCGGAAGATGCACGGCTTTAAAAAAAAAAAAAAGTTTGTGCCTAGGTGGCAGTGTGGTGCATTGTGTGGGAGGTTACAATGGTGCGTTTGTGTGGGAGATACAGGTGGCGTTTGTGTGGAAGATACAGGTGGGCCTGTTTGCCTTGTGGGAGATTCACAGCCATGGTGTTTGTGTGGGAAGATACAGGTGGAACTTGGTTTGTGTGGGAGATACAGTGTTGTTTGTGTGTGGGTTAGACAATCGACAGGTGGTGGGCATTGTTCCTCCCGAGGCAGCCATAAAGATAATGTTGTTTGGAGATTATATTTGTGTGGGAGATACAGGTGGCATTCGTGTGAGAAATGCAGGTGGCGTTTGTGTGGGAGATACAGGTAGCATTTGTGTGGGAGATACAGGTAGCGTTTGTGTGGGAGATACAGGTGTGTTTGTGTGGGAGATACTGGTAGCGTTCATGTGGGAGATACAGGTGTGTTTTTGTGTGAGATACTAGTGTATTTGTGTGGGAGATACTGGTGTGTTTGTGTGGGAGATACAGGTAGCGTCTGTGTGGGAGATACAGGTGTGTCTGTGTGGGAGATACAGGTGTGTCTGTGTGGGAGATAGAGGTGGTGTTTGTTTAGGAAATAAAGATGATGTTGTGTGGAAGATAAAGAGGATGTTTGTGTGGGAGATACAGGCGGTGTTTATTTAGGAAGTAAAGATGATGTTTGTGTAGGGGATACAGGCTGTTTTTGTTAAGGCAATAAAGATGATGTTGTGTGGAAGATAAAGATGATTTTTGTGTGGGGGATACAGGCTGTTTTTGTTAAGGCAATAAAGATGATGTTGTGTGGAAGATAAAGATGATGTTTTGTTAGGCAATGGTGGGAGATACAGGTGACTGTTTTGTTTGTGGAAGATAAAGCGGTGTATGTTTGTGAGTAAGATAAGGATGATGCTTGTGTGGGACGTACAGGTGGTGTTTGTTTAGGAAGTAAAGAAGATGTTTGTGGAAGATAAAGATACAGGTGGTGTTTGTTTAGGAAATAAAGATGATGTTTTGTGGAAGATAAAGATACAGGTGGTTTGTTTGTTTCGGAAAAAAGAATGAGGGAGATACGTGTTTGTGGAAGATGATGTTTTGGAAGATACAGATGGTGTTTGTTTTAGGAAGTAAGGAAAAAGATGTTTTGTAGAAGATGAAGATGATGTTTGTGTGGGAGATACAGATGAAGTTTGTATAGGAAATAATGATGATGTTTTGTGGAAGTTTATGAAATAAAGATGATGTTTTTGAAGATAAAGATAATGTTAGTATGGGAATTACAGGTGGTGTTTGTTTAGGAAATAAAGATGATGTTGTGTGGAAGATAAAAATAATGTTTGTGCGCGAGGTACAAGCGGTGTTTGTTTTGGAAATAAAGATTATGTTTTGAGTAAGATAAGGATGATGCTTGTGTGGAGGTACAGGTGGTGTTTGTTTAGGAAGTAAAGAAGATGTTTGTGGAAGATAAAGATACAGGTGGTGTTTGTTTAGGAAATAAAGATGATGTTTTGTGGAAGATAAAGATACAGGTTGTGTTTGTTTAGGAAATAAAGATGATGTTTTGTGGAAGATAAAGATACAAGTGGTGTTTGTTTAGGAAGTAAAGGTGATGTTTTGTAGAAGATAAAGGCGATGTTTGTTTGGAAAATAAAGATGATGTTTTGTGGAAGATGATGTTTGTGTGGGAGATACAGTTGGTGTTTGTTTAGAAGAATAAAAGATGATGTTTTGTGATAAAGATTGTTAGGTGGGGATAACAGATGTGTGTTTGTTTTTTGAAGATATGTCATGGTGGAGATAAAGATGATGTTTGTGTGGGAGATACAGGCGGTGTTTATTCAGGAATTACAGATCATGTTTTGTGGAAGATAAAGATGATGTTTGTGGTTGAGATACAGGTGATGGTTTGTTTTAGGAAATAAAGATGATGTTTTGTGAAAGATAAAGATGATGTTTGTGTGGGAGATACTGGTAGTGTTTGTTTAGGAAATAAAGATGATGTTTTGTTGGGGGTAAATTTGCTGTTTGTGTGGGAGATCAAGATTATGTTTAAGTGGGCGATAAATATGATGTTTGTATGGAAGATAAAGGTGGTGTTTGTGTCGGAGATAAAGATCTTGTTTATGTGAGAGTTAAAGGTAGTGTTTTTTTTAAATCTTATCATTTGTGTGTGTATTTTATCTTATCTTTTCTTGTGTTTTATCTTATCATTACTTTTGTTTTATCTGATCTGATCTTTTGTTTTATCGTATCATTTTTTTTTCAGTCTTATCATCTCTTATGTTATATCTTATTATTTCTTGTGTTTTATCTTACTTTTTTTCAGTATGTTTTTTATATGGTGTCTTGTGTTTTATCTTATCAGTACTTGACTTTTATCTTATCATTTCTTGTGTTTTATCTTTAATTTCTTGTGTTTTCTAGTTTGTTTGTTTTTTATCATTATTTGTGTCTAATCTCATCATTTCTTGTGTTACATTTTATTATTTCATGTGTTTTATCTTACCGTTTTTGTGTTTTATCTTATAATTTCTTGTGGGTTTTTTTTTCTCATCCATTCTAGTCATTCATTTTATAATATCTTGTGTGTTAGCTTTTCATCATTTCTTGTGTTTTATCTTATTTTTTCTTGTGTTTTATCTCAATATTTCTAGTGTTTCATCTTATCATTTCTAGTGTTTCATCTTCTCATCATTTCTTGCATCTGTTCTTTAACAAAAGGTGTGGAAACGTTCTGGAGCCTGGTTCTTCAAGGGCCTCCCCAAATATGTCCTTCCAGAGAAGAAGACAGAGAGCGGGAAGTACCCCATGCGCATGCGTGCTTCACCCAGAGGGTCAGTGAAAGGTCGACCAGCAGCAGCAGCAGTAGCTGGGTCAGCATCACCAAAAGATTCTTACACCTGGCATAAAGCTAGAGGCAGTGCCAGCACAGGTGTATCTTGTAAGTAGCACTGTCTTCTCTCCTTTCTTTTTCTCTGCTGCCTTTCATCTCCCAGTGGGGTAGCACCAGGTGTATCTTGTAAGTAGCACTGTCTTCTCTCCTTTCTTTTTCTCTGCTGCCTTTCATCTTCAAGTGGGATAGGAGCAGGTGTATCTTGTAAGTAACACTGTCTTCTCTCATTTCTTTTTCTCTGATGCCTTTCATCTCTCAGTGGGGTAGCACCAGGTGTATCTTGTAAGTAACACTGTCTTCTCTCCTTTCTTTTTCTCTGCTGCCTTTCATCTCCAAGTGGGATAGGAGCAGGTGTATCTTGTAAGTAACACTGTCTTCTCTCCTTTCTTTTTCTCTGCTGTCTTTCATCTCCCAGTGGGCTAGCACCAGGTGTATCTTGTAAGTAACACTGTCTTCTCTCCTTTCTTTTTCTCTGCTGCCTTTCATCTCCCAGTGGGCTAGCACTAGGTGTATCTTGTAAGTAACACTGTCTTGTTGTCTTTCATCTCCAAGTGGGGTAGCACTAGATGTATCTTGTAAGTAGCACTGTCTTCTCTCCTTTCTTTTTCTCTGCTGCCTTTCATCTCCCAGTGGGCTAGCACCAGGTGTATCTTGTAAGTAGTCTCATCTTTCCTCCTCGCCTTTCCATCTGTCATCTTCCCTGTGAGGTAGCACCACCATAAGTGTATCTTGTAATGAATTAACTGGGTTTTTTTTTTTTGTGGGCTGTCTGTGCATCTTTCCCCTGGCAACTTATTGATGTGACTCTTACTCAGTGATTCAATTAAAAAAATATTACAGCTTCTGACCCGAAATTCTACAGAAATGTTCTTAGAATACCATGGACCAAAAAGAAGAAAAACAGACATCCTACATGATCTGAGCATCCAGAAGAATCGGCTCATAAACAGCATCCTGTCCCAAAAGCTAAGGAATTTTGGCCATGTTTAGCAACGTGATGGCCTGGAGAGAACAGTGATGGAGGGTACAGTTTGTGGAAAATGAGGACACAAAGTGGACACAAAACATTGAAGATGCCATGGTTATGAGGACACAAAGTGGACACAAAACATTGAAGATGCCATGGTTATGAGGACTGGACACAAAAAGAGATACTTTATGAGCACAAAGCCCTGAGTATGCCATGGTTCATCGGACTACAAAGTGGACAATTGAAGATGCCATGGTGATGAGGCAAAATAACCACTTGAAAGCACACACAGTTCATAGGAAAGAGATCACTTTCACAAGCCCTGGTAGCGGTCATCGTCTAAATGACAATTGATGGTGTGAGAGACAAAATAACCACTTAAGCCTGCACAGTTCATGGCGACCACACAAGCCCGGGTGGAACGGAATCCCCAGGCTCAAGCTTCCTCTGCTTCAATCACACCTAACGAGCGGGAATTACACATGAACTTGAGACTTTTCGAAATAAATGTTTAAGGAGAATTCTGCGAAAATTTTTGGTCCAAACAAGATCACTGATGAAGGAACTGAGGAGGAAAACAGAATGTGCATCACTGGCAAATGTTATCAAAGTAAGACGATGGAGATGGCTTGGACATGTTTGCAGAATGCCTTGTGACACTCTGGCAAAAACAGGAGATGTGGACGACCTAAGGAAACCTGGAGAAGGACAATAGAATGGGAAATAAAGGAATGTAAACTGACATGGGATACCATGGGCAGAAAAGCAGCCTGACCGGCCGCAGTGGAGATCACCTGTGAATGCCTTATGTGTCAACAACGACATGAAGAGGATATAGAATATATAGAACAAGTGGTTGAAAGTTCACCCGTGAAATATTTATCAGATGTTAGATTTGAACCTACACCCACAAAAGTGGTAAAGACAGACAGTAAAAACAGGGTTCAGTGGGAGGAGGTAGAACAGGTTCATGTCCTGTATATCAGTGGTTCTAAGACTTCCTAACCCTGCGACCCTTTAATACATTTTCTCATGGTAATCTTGGTAATGTTTGAAATCTTAGTTTCAGCTTCATAGCAAACGAGTCACCCCATAGTTGCTCCACTCCTGTGCCAACGAAAAACACACAGAATGTTTATCACAGTCCCTTGTGGAAAGATTGACAGACTGCTGTCTCAGCATGTGCACTAGCATTCACACACATTAAAAGCATACTGTAGCCATCAGAAGTGCTAACACAAACAGTCCGACATTAGAAATGCAGTTCATCATAGCAGGGGTAACCAACATATCAGCAGCTGCACACGCAATTATTTTAATCACATAAGGGCACCACCAATATTGCAACGACAGACCATGCGCCATTTTCTGAATCTACAATTCACAACACCACTTGGTCATTTTCGAAAAACATTCCAACTGAAATCCGCAGCTCACAGGGTCACTCAACTCAGTAGCTGGGCGACGAAGCTATATCCTTTGTCTAAAAATGGAGCAAAAATGCAACAACCACCGTCTGGCAGAAGCAAACAATTTGCTGCGACTCAAAACAGTGACCACGCCTAACATCCATTTTGACCCGGATGTTCACAGTTCCTCATGTTGTGGTGACCCCCAACCAAAAAATCATTTTTGTTGCTACTTCATAACTTCAGTGAATATATGTTTTCTGATGGTCTTAGGCGACCCCTGTGAAAGGGTTGTTTGACCCTCAAAGAGGTCACCACCCACAAGTTGAGAACCGCTGCTCTACAGGATGCTGCAAAGCCCACTGCAGTATTGTTTGGCTGTTTGTGGTTGCCAACTAAATTATCAGCTCATGATACCGCTGTTGAAACCAAAGCAGAGTAGTCTGCTGCCAAATTGCCCAAAACTTAGACTGCACCAGGCATCTTGGAATTATGAAGCATGTTCACAGTGCCTAAGCCACAGATGCTTTTTTTTTTTTTTTTTTTTATTTATTTTTCTAGTGTCGATTTTGGGGTCCTCATGCACAAAAAATGAGGATTAGCTGGTCGGATGTGTTGGGTTAAAAAAAAAACGCTATTTGATACTAAGAGCAGAAGAAAACCTTATCAGTGACATGAATCTTTCCTAGATATTTGCAAATTCTAAACACATCTTTGACTGCGAAACAAAACAAAAATTCCTTTACCATTTCAGCCAGCTATGGTGAGAGTAGCGAGCAAGATTCCTCCGAGAGCTCCGAAGAAGACTTTTCCATGACCAAGCAGAAAGTCAAAAAAAGCGTGGATTCTGGTAATCCAACATCAACACCAACATCAACAAGTACATATTCAGATCGAGGCTTGAAACATTTCTTCACAAATCAGTAGACTAGTTCCATTTCTCACATCATTAGCAGAAAGCATGCTTATTGATCTCAGCTTTACCTTCAGTTTTTATTTTAATATCTTTTTTTTTCCAGCCAGTTAAAATAATAAGCATGTGCGTTATTTTTAAGTATTAGATATGTATAAATATACTTATGTATATATATATATATATAAACACACATACACACACACATACATACATACACACATACAAAGATGTATGTACTGCAGCATGGGTAAGGCATGTTCAAAGGTAGATTTTTAATGTGTATTCAGGAGAGTCCTTGTAGCTTTGAATTTAGATCTGCTGGTACACTTAGCATCTACAAACATTATCATTTATATGAATCTGAATTTGTACGTAAAACAGCTGATACGTGTATCTAAATGTGTCAGTAAATTAGCAGCAACAGATTCGTAAATTTTAACATGGTACATTTTAGCAACAGTAGATTCTTGAATCTTAACAGACCAGATACATTTAGCAAAAGAAGACAGACTTATCAAATTAGTTTAACATTTTTCTAAATCTAAATTTATCACTTTATTTAAAGTCATGTTTTTTTTTTTTTTACATAACATAATTTTTCTATAAATTTAGCAACTGCAAAAATGTGATTACATTTGATTACATATTTTTCTGTGTTATCAAATTTAGTTGTGTGTCCAACAGCAGAAACATGGTTCTAATTGTATTAATAGCAGAATGTTAGTATACACTTATTACATTTAACAACAGCTGAACATTAATATAAACCTATCACATTCGATAAAGCACAACACTAACATAAACTTTTTACATTTAACAACAGCAAAAACAGTTTTTACCCACGCAAATGTTAACTTTTCAGTGCATTTCAGTAAAGACATAAATGCGAACATTTCAAATGAGATAGAATCGAAACTTGTCCATACATTTAACAACATCATATATACACATTTAAATAGAGAAGTACATATAATTACAGCAATCAACCTTCCTGTTGAAACTATTCAGCACCATTTAAAAAATAAAAGCAATATTTCCATTCTGTGAATTTGAACATAGAAAACAAACAAAAGATGGCATATTAAGCTGCATCTCAACAAGTGCACACTACAATGACAATTAAATAAAATTAAGTAAATAAATAAATTATTTCGACTGATTTTCAAAATCTGCTACGCTACATTACATTTCTCTGTGTGGGTTCCAGGGTCCCATTTGAGGGAGTGGAGGAAGGGAGGGAATAGACCCAGTAAGCTACTAACAAGTATATCGTGAAAGCCGACTAATTAGTGGTGTGTCCCTAAAAGTCAGAGTCCATCATCTGCCTGAGAGGCAAGGAACCAACAGTCTGCATACAAATAATCTAGATCTGTAAAACGGATAAGTATGCACAAACAGAACTTTCAGCCGGAGTTTACAGCCAGTGAACTGTAAGAAGAAGAAGAAGATTACCTCACCATGTTTGATTGAGTACCTCCATTCATTGAAGTTTCATTACACTAAAATTAACTCTTAAATGTTCTGAACTGCCTGATAATTAAAAAAGAAATCTTTGTTTAAATGTAGAATGAACTTGTTTTCTAACAACAGGGTTTATATGTAACATTTGTCCAGTTTCTTCTCATATTAATTAACAGAAAGAACAATATCTCTCTTATTATATACAAATCTATTTGTTATAATTTAAACATCTGACAGTTCAAGTAAGAGTAATAAATCTGTTCATTTGTTCATTATATCATTTTTCGCAACAGTCTGTTCTGTTAATTTTGGTAATAAACATCCATAAACAGTATGTATGTTATGACTTACCTTTTTTTTTTTAAATATTGTTTATTATGGTAAATTACAAACACTTACCGGACACAAATATCTGTTTATGATAACCTAATCATAAATTTGTTTTTTGTTTTGTAAGCAAATGTAATAACAGTCACAGAGATGAATGGAGGTCGGTGTGTGATCTTCTTCTTCTCTCTACTCCTGGAATTCCTCACAGCATCAGAGCAGAAAGACACCTCTGAAACAGGCCTTTCTGTTCACTTCATATATAATACTTTTGGTGTCTCTGATATTTCTATGGTCTATGTTCTGCATGGTTGACCTCTGACTCTGTTATCACTGTATCTGTAAAGCATTGCTCCTTGTGGTGCCAGTTTTTTAAATGGCCAAACCATTTGATTTGTTGTCTACCTATAATTTTCAGTATTGGTTCTGTGCCGACTCTCCTCCTGATATCATTGTTTCTAAATCAATCTTTCCTTATCTGTTGCCAGTTTTGTTACATGACTGAAGCATGGGCTCTTTTTGTTTGCATTATATGTAGAACTTTTCAGTGTCTCCAATGTTTCTGCTGTCCATATTTTACATGGTCGACCTCTGGCTCTGTTACTGCTGTATCTTTCTAACATTGCTCTCTGTGGGGTCTTGTCTGTTGCCAGTCTTGTTACATGGCTAAACCATTTGATCTGTTGTTTGCCGATAAGGTTCAGTATTGGTTCTGTACCAACTCTGATCCTGAGATCTTCATTCCTAAGTCGATCTCTCCTTATTACAACTAGCATGTTACATAAACATTTAATTTCTTTCGTGACTCTTTTTCTTCTGTCTTCTGAAGACAATGTCCTTGTATGACACTGATAGCATAGCAATGGTAAGAATATTGTGTTGAACACTGCTCTTCAGGAGCTAGCATTTCAGTATTGGTACCATTTAGGGTGGGTGATATCAGCAGCAATGACCCTCAAAGTCTCAGAATGATGAAAAAGAAGAAACCAGTGTAATTAATCTGAAGTAACAGTTATAAGTCTTTTTTGTGTGTGTGGATAGAAGTAACACTTATAAGTCTTTTTATTGTGTGATAGAAGTAACAGTTATAAGTCTTTTTATTGTGTGATAGAAGTGACAGTTATAAGTCTTTTTATTGTGTGATAGAAGTGACAGTTATAAGTCTTTTTATTATGTGATGGAAGTGACAGTTATAAGTCTTTTTATTGTGTGATAGAAGTAACACTTATAAGTCTTTTTATTGTGTGATGGAAGTGACAGTTATAAGTGTGTGATAGAAGAAACACTTATAAGTCTTTTTATTGTGTGATGGAGTGACAGTGACAGTTATAAGTCTTTTTATTGTGTGATGGAAGTGACAGTTATAAGTCTTTTTATTGTGTGATGGAAGTGACAGTTATAAGTCTTTTTATTGTGTGATGGAAGTGACAGTTATAAGTCTTTTTATTGTGTGATAGAAGTAACAGTTATAAGTCTTTTTATTGTGTGACAGTTATAAGATGTGTGAAGAAGTGACAGTTATAAGTCTTTTTATTGTGTGATGGAAGTGACAGTTATAAGTCTTTTTATTGTGTGATCGAAGTGACAGTTATAAGTCTTTTTATTGTGTGATAGAAGTGACAGTTTTAAGTCTTTTTATTGTGTGATGGAAGTGACAGTTATAAGTCTTTTTATTGTGTGATAGAAGTGACAGTTATAAGTCTTTTTACTGTGTGATAGAAGTAACACTTATAAGTCTTTTTATTGTGTGATGGAAGTAACAGTTATAAGTCTTTTTATTGTGTGATAGAAGTAACAGTTATAAGTCTTTTTATTGTGTGATGGAAGTAACAGTAGTATATCTGTTTATTATTTAATGTATTTCATAGTAAACAAAAAGTATGTTTATTGTGTGTTTAGAGTATCAGTAATAAGGCTTAATTGTGTGGTTGAAGTAACAGTATTAAGATTGTTTATTCTGTGATACCCGTCAGTAATCGGTATGTTTATTTTTGACGCAGATAACATTAACGAGTCAGTCTATTATATGACATTTGCAATGAACACAAATAAATATATCCATTTTAGTCAGCGATACAGCCATCCAAACAGTCATTGTTATGCATAAGCTATATTTTTATTCTTTACTTTTATCTTAATTTGAATAAAATTAAATCGTGAAGATTAGATTGTTAGTGTTCTTGAGGATGGTGGATTAATTTTAATGTAATGATCTTTTATTTATTATAAATCAACCTGTCTTCAAAACTGATAAAATAAAATAGGAGGTGACTGCAGTGCGGTTAATATAATTCACTTTAAAATCTACATAAATGACTAGTAAGCTCAGTTTGGTTGGGTGTTAGAATTCTCTGAATTCTCTGTACTTATAGAATTCTTAACTATTGGTGATATTTTAAAATTAATTTTGGGGGGAATTAGTTTCATGGTCAGAATCAAATTTACGTGCTTCACGAAACGATGATGTCTTTGCTTTTAGAAAGTGATAACTTGAGTATGGGCAGTACAGCTTCTCGCACAGCACACAACAACCACTCTAGGGTGGAGAGTAAAGCCAGCTCTACGAACACTAACAACCAGGCAAGTCAGCTGAGTGCCACCGAGAGTAGCAGAGGGGACAATATACGTGATGAGACAGAGTCTGAGCGGTCCAGTACTTACGGTGAGGATCTCTGCTGCTTCTTCTTCTTTCTTTTTTTTTATTTATTGTAGTTTTTTTTTTTTTTTTTTATGATATACTTTAACCTTACCACACAAAAAAGTTTGTGAGTCAGTTTCTTTCACAACTTCTTCATTACTGTTTTTTTTAAAATGATTTATACTTCAACCTTGGACGGCCAGAGTAACTAACAATGATTGCTTGAAAGAAGGTAATCAAATTAGATCTCTATAGACAACAATAAGAAAGAAACAAACACCGTTCTTTAGCCACATTATGAGAAGAGATACATTTGAGAACATGACAACTGGGAAGATCAGTGGAAAAAGAGGTAGAGGCAGATCAAGAGAGATGATGCTGGATGGGCTGAAACAATGGCATGGAGGAATATCATCAAGAGAGCCGTTCCAGGCAACCAGGGATTGTGATCTGTGGAGTCGCGTGAGCGCATTCACCAGTAGGTAGGGCATATGATGATGCTGATTCTTTAACTGTTGGCATAGCTAATGGTGAAAAGCAACTGTTAGTCCCAGGGCACCGTGTTGTTTTGTGGAACAGCGTTTGCAATTACTGTAAAGTCCATTGCAGAAATGGCAGTCTCTGCCACAGAGATTGCATCAAAACATTGATACTCTGTTATACTGAGACATGCCTCATATGATGATGATGATACTTTAACTGTTGGCATAGCTAATGGTAAAAAGCAACTGTTAGTCCCAGGGCACCATGTAGTTTTGCCACTGGTTTGTGGAACAGCATTTGCAATTACTGTAAAGTCCATTGCAGAAATGGCAGTCTCTGCCACAGAGATTGCATCAAAACATTGAGACTCTGTTATACTGTTATACTGCCTCATTGATGATAGTTCTATGGAGATTAATGTTGATGCATTCAGGAAAGGCAAAGAAGTAAGAGAAATGTCTGGACAATCACTTGTATCAGCTTTTAAATAGTCCCTACCATGTGATGTTTGTAGTCATGTGTGTCCACAACGTCCTGTCTCATGAACTTACAGTCGGTTCTGACACAGATGATTCTCCATGCCATGATGTCAAACTGTCCAGCATTTTCTCCTGAGTCTTCCTCTGCAGTTTCCCCCATCCAGTTTCCCCCGTCCAGTTTCCCCACCATTACGATGTACTCCAGTTTTCTTCTTCTAATGACATGACCAAAGAATGCAGAGTATGTCTCCTTCTTCTTCTTCGTGTTCACCAGCTGTAAACTCTAGCGGAAAGTTCTGGTTGTTTATCCACTTCTGGACTGCAGTCGGGTTTCAGAACTTGAGTGTTGCGTGTGCATCTGCTTTACAAATCTGATTTATTTGTATGCAGACTGCTGGTTCCTTGCCTCTTCCTTGCAATCCGGCTCTCGAAGAAAGCTCCCAATTAGTGGACTCTTACGACATGCTTTTGGGTAGGCAGTGGGTCTGTTCTTATTTTCCCCACAATGGGGCCCCGGAGCCCACACGGAAGCAGAGTATGTGTTTTTTATGTTGACAGTCAGTTCTCTTTGTGCGTTAGTTTCTTTCAAGACATCTTCATTACTTTTGTTACCTGTCCAGGTTATTCTCATCATTCGTCTATACAACTACATCTCCTTACCATCCAAATAATTTTTGTATCCACAGATATCAGAGAAGGAAAGATGGCAACACATTGGGTAGAGCAGTGGACAAAGAACCACCAGACAGTCATGGAAACGGAAAACAAATGGATTGAGGAAATGAGGAGGTCCTAAAGAAACCCTAAGATGAACATTGATGAGAAAAGAGGATGGGAGGATAGATCGGGAAATAGAAACAAGATGCCAAGATTATAAACAGCATATTCATACCAACATTGTGAAACACTAAGCACTTCACGAATAGCTGCTCTAACCTTCATCTTTGTGCCAGGGTATGCAGGTGTTCAAGGGAACCAGCGTGCAGACTATCTTGCTGACTCTGTGGTTGCTGTGGCTGGTCCATTAGTGGACAGAAGTGATGTTATCAGTGCCATGCGCTGCACTTACCGTACCGAGGAGCACGCCAAAGGACATGATCCATATCCACGTCTAGATTGATGAACATGGGTGTACAGCCTGAAGCTGCCCGAAATGAATATTTCACTAAGGGAACAACGCGTTTCATTAACCAACACAGAACAGGCGTCATCAGTCATTTTACACTTGGGAAGCTTTTGAGGAGATCGGAGCACCTATGGATCTGTGCTGCCAGGGCCAGACTTGAACATTATTAAAGGTTAACCTCGTAAAATTAACAGCTGTAAAATGAGATGCCTGATAAAAGCCACAAACTTAACCATCCGAGACAAAGTTAGAAATGATGTTGTCAGACAGACTGTAGGAACAACACCATGCAGCAAATTCATTAAGAAACAGAAGATCAAATGGTTTGGTCAATTAGTAAGAATGCAGCCAGAACAACTACCAACGCATTGGCAATGAAAAGATCTGAAGTGAAAGCAAGAGGCCGCCGTAGGAGAAGATGGATTGATGACATTAAAGAGCTTCTACATTGACATGGAATGACAATAACCATTGCTGCCCATCAAGCAATGGATCGCACACTGTTCCTCCCCACAACTTTTAACAGCAGAAGTGGAAATTGATGATGATGATGATGATGATGACAACACAATCAATAGTGGTAACTTTGGAGCATAGCTGATTTTTCGTTTCAGTTATAAGGAATCATTTATTTTGTTTCGTTATATTCAGTAGTATGCACCTAGATTGGGACCACAGGTTACCAGTTGAATGGCTCTGGTCTACACTTACTGGCATGGCACATGATGATGATGTATGTCTGCAGGGATTAATTTTGTGTTTGTGTTTCAGCCTTTAGCAGAGAAGGTTCAAGTCGATCAAAGGGGAAAGCCAGTCCAGCAGATGGGGAGACGGACAGTATTGATGCTGCTATTAATAGATATATCAAGACATCACATACTGCTGATGAAGAACACGTGTCATCGCCTGAAAGTGAAGGCAGTACGTTTTATGTGTGTGTGTGTTTTCTGCCTGTGAGGTTTTATTCTCTCTCTCCCTCCCTCTGTCTGTCTCTCTGTCTCTTATTCTCTGTCAGTTTTGTTCTCTCTCTCCCGATGTCTCTTATTCTCTCATCTCTGTGACTCTCATTTTCTGCTTATGACTGTGTGTATCTTATATGTTTATGTATCTTTCTCTTTTTGTGTGTCTATCTCTTGCTGTTTATATTTTTCTCTTTATATCGCTCTGTTTGTGTCTCTCGTTATCTTTTGCTGTTTTCTAATACATACCATATTTTATTTTAATTTTTCCTTTTTTTTTTCTTCACTTTCATTTTTCATCTTTCTCTTCTTTGTTTATATTTTTTTTCAACAGATTACAAATTTTTTTTTTTAAGTGTTATAATATAATGTAATCAATAATGTAAGTAACAATGAATACATAGAAAAAGAACATTATGTCTGAAAAAAAGAAAATTAAGTACAAATATGGTAAAAGAAAAAAGAGAAAATGAAAGAGAGATGTAAAGTTAACCTGTAAGTCTCATGAGGAGAAGTAATATAAATGAAAAGATACAAAAGTAATAGTAAAAGTAAGTAAACATAGGACCTTATTTACACAAGTTTTACACTGGGCATATTATGTTAGACTGATAGTTTTATAGACCCATCAGCACTCAGTGGGTCGGCATCAAGCCGGCAGCCTTTACTTTCCAGGGCTTTATCAGGTACCTGTTTTTAGGCTGGGCCTGCCATAAATATTCTTCCTCTTCTTCATATTCATCTTCTTCACGCTCGCTGGCTGTGAACTCCTGTAGAAAGTTCTGGTTGTTTGTCTGGACTTTAGTCTTGTTTCAGAAGTTGAGTTCAGTATTGAGTTTCAGTATGAAGAAATGCAAAATACGTCCAGTGATTACTATTTACTGGGTACACAATTCCGTAGTTTTTTTCATCGCTTTGTGGTTCCAGAGCATGATTGGAGGAAGTAGGAGGGGAAAAGGACAGTAGGGGGTATCGATGGGAGGGGAGGGTGTGTGGAATATACTTCCTGCCCTGTAATAAGCATGTCCAAGGAGTCTTTACTTTCCTTGTAGGCTGGGTAAACCTGGGAGCCAGGATTGGTTTTCAGAAAAATCTGGCTGGATGTGGATTTAAACTCAACAACAGCAGTCGAGCATCTATCTGCTTTGCTACTGTTCCTCACACACATACAAAATATTCTTGAAATTTTATTTTCAAAACTAGTGTGGGGAGAAAGAAACAAACAAAAACATTTCTATGTGATTATTATGTGCTAGTGTGAAGAAATAAAATGAAAAACACACGAAAGTAGGAGGCAAATAAGAAAAATTGTGATTAGGACAAAAAGTAATAGTTCCCAACTGAACAGCAAAAACAGGAAAGGTAAAGAAAAGGCAATGGTTCTTCTGCGCAGGGATCCTAGAATATTCTACCAGAACCCAGACAACGGATATCTGAACAGCTCTATGTTACACTCACTAACACACAAGATGACTACACACACCTAGACGAACCATGTGCATGGACTTCTTCTTCTTCTTCACTTCCTCCTTTACCACTGTGGGTGTCGAGGGAGATATAAGGTTCTGTCTCTAGCTCTTCTGGTCGCCTCGACCATAGGCACATTGTGCTGTTGTAGAGTTTCTCTGATGTTATCCTTCCATCTTGTTCTTGGTCTACCTCGTGCTCTACGTCCTTCTTCTCTTTCCATGTATGCTTTGTATGGTATGGTATCACAAGGCATTCTCTCTATGTGGGCAAACCATTTCATCTGCTGTCTTCGTATGTAATTTAGAATTGGTTCTGTGCCGACTTTTTCTCTTATGATCTCATTCCTGATCTTATCTCTTATGGTCACTCCTACAGCCCTTCTCAGACATCTCATCTCCATGGTTACTAATTTTCTTTTATGATTTGTTGTGAGTGACCATGTCTGGCACTGGTAGCACAGAGTTGGAATAAATATGCTTTGAATAAGATGTCTCTTTGTGCTGATTG